AACAGACAGTATAGTAGTACCGTCTATCAGTGGTTTTAGGCGGATATCTACGAGTAGAGAATGATGGATAAGTAGGTCTGTGCCAGTGATAGGCATAGTGTCGTCAGCGAGAAGGAAAATCCACTGAATAGGTTTGCGTAAACCTACATTCAGAAAGACGTATTTCCTACCAAATGTCGCGAGTGGTTTTCCATTTCCTTCTATCACTCTTCCTCTGTGGCAGGCAAGACTTTGACTTCGGTGCCTGTGTCACCAAGCACCGAATCTGGTTTGCTACGTCATGGATGCATGATGGGTGGCTAGCATCATTGGTGACGGCTGCCGCTAACACGTGTCGGTGGGGTAGTTTCCCATAATCTATGAGACATCGCCAAAATTACAAGGTTTCTGCAACATTTCACCTCCTAACCATAGGCACTGTGATACCAACACCAGTTATAGTTTTTAAATGACCACGGCTTGGATTCTGACCAGCCACGTAGGTTTCGCCGTTGAGGGGGATTCGGACGACGATATGAAGAATTACGGGGTATCAGCCTCGTCTCGTAAACCGTTAATATCCAGCTCTTGCTACGCTGGGACTCACGCTGTTCCTCGAAGCTTCTCAGAAACGCTTAGTACGAACGGACGCAAAAACCAGAACACCGATTGGCAACTCGAGAATTCTTTATTCTAACACCAACATATATCCAATATATAACTAAGTTTACAACTAAGGTCTATGAACAAATATTACAATAATAAATCACGATATTACTTCTGACGGTTTTGTACGTGCTTTTTGAACAGCGATCGATGAGATGATGACTGGTGTATTGATGCCTGCGCGAAAATTGGGGAAGTTGGCTTTGAGCAAACAACCATGAATTGATCGTTCAATCTTCAACTATGTTGATATGGGGATTATTTGACCTAAGTAGAGGCTTGACGGAGTTGCATGATATGGTGTGTTGCAATGTGATTTCACTACTCGCAGTTTTTTGCAATTGAGAACATCTCTGTGGCTGGCCGTTGTAGTACTTCTAGAATTCTATTGGCAGAAGCAGCTAAGTCGTCTACGATGACACCTTGAAATGCCACAAGAACAGCCTGCGCTGACTGTGGCAACTTGGATAAGGGCAGCTCTCTGAAGAGTCCTTCATCGAACCGACGTTGGCCGATAACTTCCGGCATTCTCGTTAGCATGCTCACAGCCGACTGATCACCTAACTCCACTTGGCGAAATAGTTCGTCAAGATGCTGCGGGTCCGTGAGGTTGTTTCTCTTTAGGAAGATTGATTTAAGCAACTCAAACGGGTTAGTTGCCTCTGGTCTTGGCATATGCACAGTTACTCATTTGCTTAATTCCCGAGGTAGAATGTGGATAACTGCAAGAAACCGTGAACATTGGTCAGTGATTCCATGCTGACTGAAATCAAATTCGGCTATCCGAAACCATGATTCCACATTATCTGGCCAAAATGGCACGAGCTGAATAGTTTTGCTACCTGATCGAATACGGATGGGTTTAGGCGTATGGTCACTAATGGCAAAATAGATATACTTTAAACATAGTACAAGCACGAAAACAAAATGAAACGTGCTCACCGGATTTGTCTGCATGTTTACGAGAGATGAAATTCTCAGTAGGGCTGACCAGTTTAAAGGGTGAGGGTATTGACGTTCATGGACAGTAGGAAGTATGATAGAGAAGATTTGTAGCTCAGGTGGATGATTTTGATGTGGTTTTGTTCTCTGAGCTGGATGTTTAATTTGCAAATTAAATTAAATTAAATTCGCAAATTAACCATCCAGCTCAGAGAACAAAACCACATCAAAATAGTAGGAAGTATACTAACGCTAGATCGAATACACACAACTTCTCTAGTATTCGTCCCGCGTAGACCAAAGGGAAAGCAAAACACTAGAATTGATCGTCCAAATTACGAATTATATTCCGGGACCAAATCGGAGTGCGAGATGATTGTTTAACTAGCTAGGGATCGTGTACGAACGAATGGACGTAACACAACGGCGTACCAGATGGTGTGCATGCTTGACCGGAAGCCTTCGGCTAAACAAATCGACTAAAACAGTGAGCGTCAGCATCCAATGTTCAGTGATGAATGCTGTGGCCAATGGTTCTGGGGAATTACCCACCGCTACGGTTGTATTGGTTATAAGCTAGCATAGTTATTAATGAAATTACTTCCTGTGACTCCTGATACATATGAGAGGCTGAGGGTGGAGATGGTATTCGCCATCCGAAAATGTGGCTTCATCCAACCGCTTCATGATATTGAATGTCTATGCACAATAAGTTCGGTCTGTTTGAATCCAGACACATCACTTAGCCTGCTTACAGGTTGTTACAACTATCGAGATGCAAACGCATTCAAACCGCGGCATACCACTCATCTGCTCATGGCCTGATAGAATTTTTACAACAGCTTAATCTTATTTGATGGCCACCAACAACCTTAGATGAAAGGCTCTCCTCTTCTATCCCTCTTCATCATCCGCTTAGCTCTCAAAGGTGAAGCTGACTGCATATTAGCAGGGCTAGTTTATGAAACCACACCCCGTTCATTCAGCGAATTTATTTCTCCGTAAGGTGGTGAATCAGTTGCTGGTGATATCCATGGCTGTAACCAGAATTCGGCACGCTCTACACTTCAATTTCAACCAACCCCGTATCCTTCCCACAATGGTAAGAAAGTGCTGTTGGATTCCGGACTTCAAGATCGCATATTCGTTTCCCTGCACTGTAAATCAGTGCGTAAGAATCTGCAAGTCCCGTATGACAGACATTTCAATATCATCAGCAGGAGGAAAAATGTTTAGTCTTTGACCAAGCTGGTTGTCAGGATATAATTAGCGTTGATCACTTCAGAGCAGCTAATTTTGAGGAGTTCCTGTTCTTTAAATCTATAAGACTAAAAAACTCCTGGACATCCAACCTGAACTAGACTCATTTACTGGTAGGAATCATCAACCTTCCAGTAATACATTGGCTAGTGATAGTAATAAAGTACCTTCTGGGCTGACTGGTTTAAATGTACACCGATCAAAACAGTATGCAGGTTTCGTAAACTATACACATTTAAGTTTTCCTATTATTGTTATATTTTGCCGGTACTTTACTCGTATGTAAACATATTTCCATATATTTGTGGTCGACAAAACACCAAACCCATTTACCACATAAAATATCAAATTAAAAGCCAAAATTAGGTGTGATATTTAAACAGCATATTACGGTTATTAGGGTAAATACGTGATATAAAGTTAACATTACTTGCAAGTGGCTCTAAGTCCAACTCCAACAGTTTAAATAATATAGTCCAGCGGTATGGCATATGTATATACTCCTATATTTCTCTCCAATACAACTCTCACTAAAGAGTTGCTGAATACTGTTCTGATGAGGATGGGACAGTTCCTGCAAATTCCGAATTAGTATCAGCAAATGATCAGGTCCACAGAGTTCGAGGAAGAAACAACGACAGGCTTTTTACATTTTTTGGGGTTTAGCCTTTTTTCTCATGCTAACGTTCTTTATTTTCATCATTTCACATCGTCATTAAAACTTCGAGAAATGAATACAATCAGCCCCAAACAATGCCACTCAGAGTGTCCTGAGGTGCCAGATGTACTGGTTTCCCTCTTTGTACATTCCTTTAATAGAATAAATATCCTTCGCGAAGATTACCGGGATAGAAGAACTGACCGTACGTTGGTGTTAAAAATCTGGATCTTTTTTCTAAAACTGAGTACAGTAGATTTCCACACTGACTTCAGAGTAATGGTGTCCTGTCGTGTTTCTGTTAGGTACTTGTTGTTTGATTGGTTGGCTTAAAAAAACGTAGTATGCGTAAATACCCAGTCGACCTTTACTCTACCTGACTTGTAAGTACTGATAACAAAGCAGACCAAGCAGCAAGGATATACTATGATAAGCAGTATCTTCAAATAGAATTAAAAGTCAAGGTTATTTTGGGGAAAAGATCTTAGAACTTATTTGGCTGGTACTGCTGAACTACAGAATCAAAGGCTGTGAGTGTTAACAGGCACAAGGAAGGGGCGATAAGATGGCTTCTTAGCGTGATTAGACTCACACCAGTTTAAACAAAACTTAAAACTCCTGAAGCCTCTGTAAGTGGGTTAAGCACTTATTTAGTTCATATTAAGTCGATTAAATTCAATGCATCAGTTTTAGCCATTAGTTTGTTTTGATGCCGTGGAAGGTGCACTACACTTTCCTAACCCGGTTAAATAAATAATTAATTATTAATTATCAAGTCTTCATTACCTAATCAACTGACTTAGAACTATCCGTTGATATTCTCTGGATCAGCCATTTGATAATATGCTACCAATTCAAACACATTAAAATTTTTTTAAAATTTGGAGTCCACTTGTCGGAATTTACTGTCAGCTCACATATAGTAATAGAGGCTTTTTGACGCAGAACTATGATGTAAAATGAACAACTGTGGAATATGATGACTGTTGTAATTATTAGTAATCGTAGTATTAGTATTTCGAGATGACCGAATTACAAGAATCCAACCAAAACACAGAGAGGGCGGAATTCAGGAATTTGTATTTAGCGGAATTATTGTGCAATTCATATAAGAAATATTAACAACAAATATAGAGATAGAAATTGTCAATCACCACATCCGCAGCACGTCGAATATCTCCTTGCGTATTTATAACGATGTCTCGGTTTGCTTGCAAGTAGCTGCGACCTTCTAACTGATTCTATGATATTATTTTCATCAGTATTATCTGGACTTATTTCTGAATTATCTACAAAATCAGGATTAGTAGCGGAATCATTAATAATATAATTGGAACGACCTACTCCATTTATTGTCACTTTGTCCAGGTGTCTGTTATAGACTGAGTGATCTCTGATGTCTAATATCTTCACCACTTGATTTCCCATTTTTTGTAGTATGATTCCAACAGAAGGTCTATAGTCATTCCCTTTGTAATAATGTACATTAGAAGTCGCGGACATCAGATGCTTTTTGAGAATTCAAGATTTGAAAAGTTTTGCAGGACTTTCACGGGTACTTGTATGCTCTGCATTCAACAAACGCAGTCTATGCATATGCAGCAATTCCTCCATTTTAATCAGTTGCTCTCTCATCTCATTCTGTTTTTCTCGTGTTTTCGACAGTTCGCATTGTAACTCGGCTACCTCATTTTTGGAAACAGTTGACGCTTGAGTTGCTGAACTTGTAGTGGAGGTTTCCATTGGATGAGATTGAGTATTTTGAAAAGTTGAGAGACAAAGTGACTCCATTTTACTAGACAGATTGGGAGAACTATAAGGATTCTGAGTAACATAAGTATTCGAACTTCTGCAAACAGTCTTGATGTGTCCAACTTTACCACATTTATGGCACTTAGCACCCCGAAAACGGCAAGTGCTCCGTAGATGTAACTGTCCGCAGGAAAAACACGGTTTAATGTTTTTGATCTCTCGCTGCATTCTATTATCTGTGGACGACAGTTTGGATTGCTTTCCATGAACACTTGTATTTTCGACTTCGGACAAAATGACATCAGATACTGACGTAGTGGGAGCAGAGTATTCACTGTTGACATCCTCATATGTAATACATAAATCTTTAGCAGTTTGAAAGGTACAAGAAGGAATCTGAATTAACTCTTTCTCTAACTTAGGAATATTGATTCCAGCAATTAGACGATCACGTAGTTGAGTATGCAGCTGATCTCCAAAGTCGCACTTTGAAGCTTGTATTTGAAGTTGAAGAATAAAGTCTCTTATCTTCTGATTGGGAGCACAAACCAGTTTATTGAATTGAGCCCTCTCTCTAGTCTCAAATGTATTTATATGAAAGTGATTTATCAGAAGTTCACGAATCTTGACATATGACAGAGAAATAGGTTTATCTGGAAACGCCAGATTCTTCACTAGGCTATATGCATCTAGTCCAATAGCAGTGATGAAATGTGCTGATATTTTGTCATCCCGAACGTTCTTTGAAATGCACCATGCATCAAAGCATTCAAGGTAATCAGCAATCTCCCGCGGAGAACCATTTATAGGAAATTTTCCAATTTTATTTAGTTCCATCTCGACGCCAATTTGTTGTAATTATTTGTAATCGTAGTATTAGTATTTCGAGATGACCGAATTACAAGAATCCAACTAAAACACAGAGAGGGCGGAATTCAGGAATTTGTATTTAGCGGAATTATTGTGCAATTCATATAAGAAACATATTAACAATCAACAGTAAGTATTTAAACAATACAGAGATAGAAATTGTCAATCACCACAATGACCTAGTGAGTCCAAACGATTCAAACTGTTCATCACTAAACTTTATCTCTTCAGCATAAGAATATACATTCAAGATTATGAAAGTAATTGATTTTGGTAGACATAGTCTTGGAACGATACTATGTTGCTAAAGAAATACTCATATTAGAAGAGTATAGGGAAACTATTCGCGTAGACATATTGCAGCGCTAGTCAAAAAAGGATACATCGCATAGTTAAATGTTTCAATTGTAATTTATTCTTTTTGCTACTTTACATTCTTATGAAACATTTTTTAATTTCATTATGCCGTCAACAAGTGTGGTATAAATACTGATCAAAGCAACAGACAAAAATAACATAACTTTTAAAGTGTACAAGATAAGTTTTCGCTAATTCATTAATCTGAAAGTAAACTTATCAGTGAATAATGTCCAATACTAGTTATTCAAATTAGCTGCGCAACTTTCTTTTTCAAATATACGACTTCCTTCTTTTCACTAGGTTATGTCAGTAACTCAATTCAACTGAACTCAACTACATAAAGAAAGACATGCCGTTTATAACACTCCGGTTTCCTGTACTCATATATACATATTTGAGTATATACATAAAGAAATATATACATATATCAAAAGTTTCTTTAATCTTCGACAACAAACCTACATGTTAGTCAGAAATATAGAAATTTATTGCAGAATAAGAAGACAACAACACAACATACATCTACTCACTAGGCGGACTTTGTTTGAGATATTATCCATTTAAGTACTTCATTGTTCCGTTCTACCTTTGATTTTTCCTTTATGAAATTGCGTTATCAGCTACCGGATACCTGAAAGCTTACTTGTAATACATAAAATACATATATTATACATATCATGAATGACATTGTTAACTATCGGCAGAGTTAAATATTTATTATTTTATTATATACATATTGTAGAGTCCGCGCTTTTACTTTTACTTATTGTAAATGGATAGTTGACTTACAATGGAATTTCATAATTATTTTCTACTATTTATGTATAGTTTTACATATACAATAGAGGATAAATTCTACTTTTCTACAAAGAAATTTTACTTTGTTAGGCATATTTAATCAAACTACTGTCTAATTCTTGTCGTTTTTGGTTATAAAGTCGAGAAAATCATCTCGGTCTAACTAATTAGACCATTAAAGTAAATGTATATTTAAACATTTAGGAGAAGAATATTCTAAACTAGGAGTAGAATCCAGTCGAGCATTTTTGTTGAACAGTCACAACCCCACCGGGGATAACAGAACCCAGTAATTCTGAACTCTTGTATAAAGTTTACAAAGATACACAAAGATTTACCATTCTTCAGTATTTCTTCTTCGACACAATTTAAAAAATTCAGAATACCGTGAAAGTCAAAAGCATTATCATTAATGAATACTTCCCATTTTGGTTAGTCAAAGGTCTGGATAAAAGCAAACTAACTCATTTCATCAATACTGGACATCACGTTGACATAAACAAAGCTTTTAAAGGTATTTATCTTATTTCACTTAACCTTTCATATGCTTTACCAGTACGGCTTTTACTGAGACAATCAGAATTCATATGGAGTAGCCAAATCTGTGCAGTCCTTTTCTTTACCGTGGCCAACTACATAACATGTATCCAGTTTTACAAAGGATTTACCCTCCATTTGTAATTATGACTTGACTTTGTTATTTTATTATGACGACTATTCTAACTAATTCAGTTAACTTGTTTGCATCTTGCCACTCTTGCGTAATTCGCCTTAGTCCTCATAAGTTTGCGAATTCCTTGATTATTCAATAACCTGTTGCTAACTTCTGTGGATTAACTAATCTTGAGTTTCGTAACTATTTTCACAGCCGTTGTACCCTCAACCTGGGACGCTTCAGCAGTACATAATCATAAACCTACACCTATGGATTGAACCCAAGACCTTCAGGTTTTCAGGTGAACCAGCCGTCCACTTAGCCACTACGATGAAGTGATTTCTAATTTCTACAATTTAGTGACTTACATCACCATCACCAGCCAGTGTTATCGGCAAATGTTTGTGCTCCCACTGGTCAACAGAACTGCAGGTGGTTTCATTTTGTAGTCGTTGATCAGTGAGCATTAGATTAGTTTTAAGGTGTTAGTTTGCATGGTTTGAAATTAGACGACGGATTAATATCAGTCATGGAACTTCTGGAAACTGGAGAGTACTTGACAGTCATTTTGTTGTAGTCTGGGACTCTTCAGCATTCAGAAATCAAAAACAACAACAACATATAGCACAAATAAGATTCTTTCAAAGAAGGATGCTCTTTATAGTTAGGCTAGTAAACACTGTTGTCAAGTCTTATTTTGCATTGTGGTCTTTGAAGATGAATGCATTTATGAAGCAAAAATACACGAAACACGTTTAAATATATTTTCAATTGATAGAGGCGATGACAACCGAACAATTTCATTGGGATGAGTGTCCGTGCATCTAATAAGGTTTAGGCAGGCTAGAAGATCTAACAACCTCTAGCCTTTCAAAGTTTTGCACACTGATGACATTCCAGAATGCCTTAGGGAACGAGATCCCTTTCACTATATCACCCCACCTACCTGCGTGAATACTACATTTGACAGTTAGGCTTATCGACGTGCGTTCAAAACAAACTATTGAGGCTATTGTAGATGAGTGCATTTCTGAAGGGAAAATGTTTGAAATACGTTTACTTTAACAGTAAATGTTTTACCTCTTTCCTTTACATTAAAAATGTTTAAGGAGTATCACTTTCTGTCTGATTTGCAAATTCAAAATGTAGTCCATGCACACAGTGATTTAGGGGTCATAGTTGGCATATTAACAATGTTTTTATCCGACTCTTGTGAGAAGAATTCCTCACATGGTGTAATAGAACACTGAACGACATTAGGACTTATTAATATGTATCAAACGTATTAAAGAATTAACAGCTTAGAATATAACCTTGTGCACAAAATCTTTTCATTTAAAAAAGAATCTGTTTCTTGCAGTAGGCAACGAGGACTTATCTAAGTTATTAGTAGTATAACAAGGAGAAGTATGCTATTTCGAAAGAGTGATGCAACACTGATATTTGGAAACAGATTTTAGGTAACTTAAAAGTGGAAATTTATCAGATTTTCTCACAAGTAATCCCACCATTGTCATGAAATATGCAGGAGATCTGTGGAATAGGATATTGAATTTTTTAATAATAATAATAATAGCCTTATTCTGAAAAATGAGTTTATACACAATACAGAATTTTCAGCGAGTTTCGTTGCTGGATACCTACTACTTGCACAGAATTTGCAAATAATATAATCGACAGTACAGCATCTGAAGCAATCTTGCTCCACCCAAGGTTTACTCCAGTACTAATCCATAATATTCTTCCTTTTGTAATTGTCGAAGAATAAAAATACCCTAGAATAACAAATTTCTTCCATTGGGCAGTTAATCCATCTTATAACTTCTTAGTTCATCTCCGGTTTGAAGTGTAAGACACTCATACTTTTATAATTTGATAATTTTGCAATAGAATTCAAATGACGTGTTGTGTAAAAGCTAAATAATTCCTTCCTTTCTAAATAAACTTCTGCAGTTATGTCTGATAATAATTCATAGGGTATCTTTCGATTTACATGCGCGATAACAGATTACACTACAATTGCCAAAACAATTCGATAGATAGTAATCTCACGGTTTTCACATGTTTTATTTTTGGGTTTTGTTTTGTTTTTTATTTTTGTTCGGTAGAGCAATATTACTACTAACCGCATACATTTATCATAAGTGGATTGTTACAAACACATAAGCAGTCAGTAGGAGAAATTTTCAAATCTTCTGCGCTATCATGAAAATGTTAATGCGAAGGTAAACTAACAGCAGCAGGATTATTATATAGCAGGTAATATATCAAGTTTTCTTGTCAACTAGTTAAAGTTTAAAAATTCTTTTATTTATTATGCATTATTAATCAGTTACTTGTGTGTATAAAAGTGGCTATGTAAAGGTAAGCAGAAACAGAGGCTGAATTTAACAACACTGAAAAGGTTAAAAATGTGAAGTGAAGAGAATGAAAAAGGGTAGTGAAAGTGTTACTTATCTTTCTGGGAGTGTGAGTGTGTGTGTATGTGAGTGTGAGCGCTATTGCTGCATAAATCCACTTTTAAAACTAAGATATAGAAGAAAAAAGAAACCAGAATCCTTGAAAAAAAGGATTTTTTTTACTTAGAAAATGACTCTAAACTAACTTTGTATAGTGGGGGTTTTTAGTTTCTGTTTAAAGAATCAGAAATTAACATTTCACTTGAAGCGGTATTATACAACACCAGGGAACTTAAATGCAATAAAAAGGAAACAGCAGTTTCATAACTTTAAAAATGAAGGAGTCAATGAGACCACACACACACACAGTCTATGAAGCAGTTGGTATCATTAACCTACATGATTAATATAAGCTTCAGTAATAGAAAGATATTATCTAAAGAAGTCTTTAAGTGAAAAAAAATGCAAATGATAAACATTTATTTGCATCATATTAAAGTGAATTTAG